CTTGAAAATTACATGTTTCCTAAAGATGGAGGCCTGCTCTCAGAACTTAATTCCGTGTCTTGCATTGTGAAATTATCCATTTTGTGTGACTTGAAAATAACGTTTTCATGTAAAGTTCTTTTCGCATTTTTCTTGTATTTGATTTCATTTTATTATTGACATATTTTACCAATAACTGAGATTAGAAATTTATCATAAAAAAGGCATCTTGGTACTTTATAAAGAGTTTATAAAACATGTACTACAGCTTATTGCGGTAATCAGTCAGCATATTAAAAGTCGATGCTTCGAAACGTGCCAGGAAAAAATAACCAGTTTCACTCTGTGTGATATCAGGGAATAGACACTGATATTTAGTTTATGAGATACAGATGTGTATCCCATACTTGCAAGAGCTCTTTCCCTTGATCCCAAAAGGCAGGAAGAAGCGCCTGGCGTTCCTGGACCTCCTGCTGGAGTACTCGGAGGGCGGCGCCAAGCTCTCCGACGAGGACATCCGCGAGGAGGTGGACACCTTCATGTTCGAGGGCCACGACACCACCACGGCGGCCATGAACTGGGTTCTCTACCTTCTGGGTCATCACCCAGAGATACAGGTCTCTCTCCGCCTGTCTCTCAGTGTGTCGCTCTCTCAAACACACACACACACATATATATGTTCATATTTATGTATGCATGTATGTATGTGCATTCACTATATATATGCTTATTCTAAATTACGATTATGTATTTCATGTCGGCGAGACTGCGTCCCTGAGCTTACTCCATTCTCGTTTCAATAACCAAGCGCCCTCGGTTCCTCAGGCTCGGGTCCACGAGGAGCTGGACTCGATCTTCGGCGCCGAGGACCGCCCGGCGACCATGGGCGACCTACGCGCCATGAAGCTGCTGGAGAACTGCATCAAGGAGGGCCTGAGGCTGTTCCCGTCCGTCCAGAGGTTCGGCAGGATACTACACGAAGACGTCCGCATATGTATGTAACAGCCATCACGTCAGTCGAGATAAAATTAATGAAGACAACTGCATGATAGTAGATCAGGAATTTCATTCATTTTTCATTGTAAAAACAAACTGAATTGAAATATGAAATGCGTTCCAGTAAATAATAAAGCAGAGAAAATATAAAAAAGTAACTTGCATAGTCTGAGTATGACTTCAGAAAATTATCGTATCAAGACTTCTCCGCTGCGTCACAGGCGATTACGTCGTCCCGGCCGGAACCAACGTCATGCTCTTCCCGTACCGAATCCACCGCGACCCGAAGCAGTTCCCAGACCCGGAGAGGTTCGACCCGGACCGCTTCCTGCCCGAGAACAGCAAACACCGCCACCCGTACGCGTACATTCCCTTCAGCGCCGGACCCAGGAACTGCATCGGTGGGTCGGCAGCCTCCAGGAACTGACCAAATTCTTCCAACTTTTCTTACTAATCTAATAATTAGAAAATCCGCCAGTTCCTCAGTTTCTTTCTCCATTGTTAGTAATGTTATAACTACAGATTATGGCATTGCTTTCGTTAGCTCTTCTATGATATTTCTTACTCAGGATACTTCACTATCTGGTACACTTGGCAAATTTCTTTTCTTATTACTCCCAGACTCGCGTTCCTAACGAGGCATTCTCCTCTCGCTATGTGAGACGCAAGAGCACCCTGTAAGCATACATGACCCCAACCTCTTCCGTTCGCAGGCCAGAAGTTCGCCGTGATGGAGGAGAAGGTCCTCCTGAGCAGCATCTTCCGCAAGTTCCGCGTCGAGAGCACAGTTCCTCGAGAAGACCTGAAGCTCCTAGACAACGCTGTCTTGCGGCCGAAGGGCGGGAACATCCTAAAGGTCTTCCCGAGGTCCTTGGCATGAAGGAGAACAACTAGGAGTAAGATCTTGGCGTGAAGAAGACCAACAGGGAGATCGCCTTGAGGGAGAGCCGCTGCTTAATGGATCTCATGTGGATAGAATATTTCTATGCACATATTTTGTACTTTACATTAATATATATGAATGAATTAAGAAACACACACACACACACGAATGTATACATATATTTCCCCTTCAGTTTACTTAAGCTCTCCGGCTAAACTCCTCACGTAGTTTCTGTAGTCAGGACTCCTACCCCCTGCGCCGTCTGTAAAGAATGGGCATCCCTCACTGTGATTCCGCCCTCCAAACACAAGACCTATTCGCACACGCACGCACGGGCGCACACATACACGCACTCGCACCTACATGCACACACAGTGATCTTTCACTTGGAATGATAGGATAATGAGCTTGTAAATGATCACTGAGGGAATTTACAGATCTTTTATAATATAATGATACTTAAACCCTGATTGCTTTGTACTGAATGCGGGCCTCAGCGGGCGAACCCAAGACCCAGATAAACAGATAAACCTCACGCCCTTTGTGTTTGGCTTTTTGGGTTCATATAGTGTGATATATGAATTTTTTTTCTACTTTACACAATGCCAAATATCTTAAAAACTTATGTCCTTATATAAATTA